AAAAAAAACCTGTGCCGAATGCTAATAAAAACAGTGTTCTGAAAGGACCATTAGGAAGCGTTCAGAAGGTGCCAAGTAATGGTACTTAATCATACAGCAAGCCAAGTAAGCCATGATTTGCTTCTCAGGTTAAACCCCGTTTTCAGGATGGACAAATTTAGCTGTGTGCAAATGTTCTGTCCTCTCCTGGGGAGATGCAGGTTCGAGACCTTCATCACCCCAATCATCCCAGCACTCATTAACCTCTATCTGAACCATGAGAGGGATGGCGGGGCTCAGGGGAGGGGAACAGAGAACAGTGGCCAGCATTTTTAATCCTCAAATTAAGCTCCATAGACAGTTTCCTGGCTTTGTATCCCCTGACATTTCTTCATATTTGTTTGCTCAGTTTATCCAAACACTAAATCACCACTTTGATGACATTTTATAACCAATTATATAGTAAACACCCTTTGCTGGCTACAGGAGTATGCAAGCTACATGTGTCCCTATCTTGAGGATGCCCATAGCATTAAATTTGACATAATGTGAAGCTTCCTGGTGAGATACAAAAAGACTAGAGGAAATTTATGGATTCTTCACCCAGATTTGCCTGTATGACCAACCTCATAACTGTAGCTCATGCCACCTGACACACCCTCTTCCAGACACCAAGGCTCCATTTACACCCCTTGCAAGAGACTCCCGTGACCTCCACAACAGCTAAAGTCCCTACTCCCTGTTCCCACCCACCTTGGCTCAGCCTGGTTCCTGTTCCCCTATTTGCATGGGGTCCTTTGACGTGTCTGGTTTTATCCTTAACTCTCCAACACCTTTTAAACATCATCCTTGCATGACATTCTGCTTCATCCCAAGTGGCTGTGCTACTTGTTTTCCAAGGGCAATGAGTGTTTGGGCAAGCCACATGAACATTACAAGTGCAGAGTTCACGAGCTGCTGTCCCTAGTAATCAGCAGTAGAGCAGATGGGAAGCTGGTGCTGGGCTTCCTCCACCAACCCCCAGCTCCATCATTTGATACCCATTCTCCTTAGCGAAACTGGAAACTGTCAGCCAACCCATTGGAAGACTCTCTAGCCAAGCATCTGAGAGTTCTAATTTTTAAGTTTTGAAGTATAATAGATTTGTTAAAGAGAAGAGATATGAGATACACCAGGCAAATCTGGTCCCATTGCAAGATTAGGTTTTCAGCTTAGACTGAGATGGAACAAGCCTCAAATTCTATTCCCTTTTTTCCTTATCAAGTTCTATCCAATGACTTCCTTGTAGATGATAGAGACATACTAGTACCTTGGAAAAGACAAAAGCCAAGAGTCAAAGGAAGCAGACTCAACCTCTGGTCAACATTAAGTACAAAGAGACTTACATTGTCACCTGTTAGCCTCCTGGAGAATATCCAGTGGGAACTCACCGACAAGTTGCAAGCTGCATTCTTCTGCAATACTCCTCCCTAATCAGAGATTCCCTTTCCTTCACTTCATTTCCTTTTGGGCTAGGTAGCCTTCTATGTTTATGGAAAATGTTCAATATTTCTACTGTGCAGTAATGAACTAAACCTTTTTTTGGAAGAATATTATGAAGAAATCAAGATGGTGGAATAGGGTAAGGACACGTTTAAACGGACAGAAAAACATTTAATCAGGATGAAGCAGAGAGGACATATTTCAGGAAGAATATTATGTATAACATATTCTAAAAATAGTATTAATAGTATTAAACACCAACACCAGGAAAACAAAAAGATTTTTCCTTACAAGCCCAATCGCTACCATTGGGCAACTTTCAGCATCTATAGTGGATAGTCACCGAGCATTCATTGCTGCCTGTGATGGCAGATTAAATTCACCCAGCCACAGGCAAAAATTGTTTTGAATCAAAACAAAAGAGAATTCACTGCCACACTGCCATGATTTCCAAAAGCAACATATGGCATATTTACTTCTGAAATGTATTCCAGGTGACTGACTCCCACAGACTAGCAAAACAAACATAGGATTTAAACAGCACTCCCAAAATGTTGTTTATAAGATGGAAGAGGGATTCGACTGCCAGGTTAAGATAAAGCTAAATGCTGAGGGTCTATAACAGGAAGACTACAATTATTCCGTATGAGAAGAATTCAAGACAAATACACCTGAGGTAGGGGCTGGCATGGCGGCAAAGTGGGTAAAGCTACTGCCACCATGCCTGATGATTCGTGTTGCAGACACTCTACTTCCAAAGCAGCTCTCTGCTAATGTGCCTGGAAAAAGCAGTGGATGGTGACCCAAGTGCCTGGGTAACAGCTTATCCGTGTGAGAGAGGTGGGAGAAGTTCCTGGCTCATGGCTACAGCCTGGCCCAGTGCTGGCTATCATAGTCATCTGAGGAGTAAACCAGAGGATGGAAGACTTCTTTCTATGTATGTGTCTTTATATCTCTGTAACTCTGCCTTTCAAATACATACATATATAATTAAGTAAATAAATAAAGCTTGTTTTTAAATGCTGCAAGTGGTTAAACCAATGCATCAAGTACAGAAAGAGACTATGTGGCCGATACTGTGGTAAGTAAGCTAAGCCACCACTTGTGATGTTGGCTTCCTACATCCAAGCATCATTTCAAGTCCTCATTGCTCTACTTCTGGATGCATTTTTCTAGTGATGCCCTTGGAAGGCAGTGGAAGATACCCAAGTCATCCATGTAGCAAACCCTGAGAGAGTCTCAGGCACCCTGAGACCTGGTCCATCCCTGGGCATTGTGGTCATTTGAAGAGCAAACTGGCAGATCAAATCTTTGTAATTCTGCCTTTCAAGTAAATAAAATGGATATGGGACCTGCTGCGAGAGCCCTACTGGCTAAATCATTGCGTTCCACACCTGGGATCCTATATGGGCGCTGGTTCGTGTGCCAGCTGCTCTATTTCCCATCCAGCTCCCTGCTTTGTGGCCTGGGAAAGCAGTAGAGGATGGTCCAAAGCATTGGGACCCTGCAAACGCATGGGAAAGCTGGAGGAAATTCTTGGCTCTAGGCTTTGAATCAGCTTGGCTCCAGCTTGGCTCCAGCTTGGCCACGTGGGGAGTGAACTGGTGGGTGGAGGATCTTTTCTCTGTCTCTCCTTCTCTCTGTTATCTTGTTTTCCAATAAAAATAACTTACCTTTAAAAATAAAACAAACACATTTATATTTAAAGAGAGAGATCAGAAAATCTAGATAAGGCTATTGCAAATTCACTCCTATCATTGGGAAAGGGGAAGGACGAATCAGTATGGAGAAAAACAAAAGCATAATAAATCTACTCTAGCGGTTGTGAAGCCCACATAAGGGCCAGTGTTGTGGCCTAATGTGTTAAGCCATTAGCTATAAATGCTGTCAGCCCACAGCTCTCTTTTTTTCCCTGCCAATAACATGCCTGGGAAAGCAGCAGAGGATGGTCCAAAGCCTTACGCTCCTGTACCCATGTGGGAGACCCAGAAGAAACTCCTGGCTTTGGACTGACCCAATTTCAGCCACTGCAGCCACACATGGAGTGAATCAATAAATGGAATCTCTAACCCTCTTTTGAATAACGAAAAAGGGAAACCCACATCCCACCTAGAAGTGTCCTGATTCAATTCTAGACTCTGGCTGTTGACTCCAGCTTCCTATCTGTGCAGACCTGGGAAGCAGAAGGTAATGATGTGACTGACTGGGCTCTTGCCACCCACACAGGAGACCTGCATCGAGTTCCCAGTTTCTATTGGGAATGACCCAGTGCATGGTTGCTTGGTCTGTCTTCCTCTGCCTCCCAAATATTTATTATTTAAAAACAAATTGATCATTACTGCATTTGTCCAAATTCACTGAGATTTTGTGCCAATCAATTTCATCCACTTCCTAGTGCCTAGCATATGGGTAACTTTGTGGTAAATAAATACTTGTTGGTTGATGAAACATCTACACAGACACGCTGGGTGCACACAGGAAATAGAAGCTCAAGGTGATCAGACAAATGAGAAAGCCATGCAAGGTTTGGGTCTTCATGTCAACATTTTCAAGATACACAATGGGGGAAATAAATGCGAGAAAATTCTGCCACATTTGTAGTTCAACATGTTGTTCCTCTTTCATGGCCAAAACTTTCTTTGCCAAGAAAAGCTATGATCAAATCAAAATATTTACAGTTCAATGTATTTAATAGAATATTAAGTTCATTGCTTAATGTTTGTCCTTGAATTAAAAGGTTACCTAAAGTTGCTAATGTTTATAACAACAATCTCCCACTTGAAACTTTAAACATACCATCACCTATTTGTGGGCTAAAGCTGACATTGAACTTTTAGTGATGCCATATGCTTTTAAATTAACCCTTCTAGATACTGTACAAAGCTCATAACACGGATTGCTGGCTTATAACTGATTTAGGTTACTGCTAAATTGTCACCAGGCAAAATAAAAATGAACATGCATATTCCTTAAGATCCCTGATGTCCAAATTAAAAGCTGGTACCATGAAAATTTGGGATTAAGCCTACATAATTTGGCTGGAATATTTCAATGACTTACACATTTTAAATTGAACTAAAATCTCTAAGGACCCTTTTTCTCCGGTTTAAAAAAAATAAACTCACACATTTTCAAATACCATTTAATGAAAGGTCTATTAAAATCACAAGGGATCAGAGCTGTCAACTTCAAACAGTGCCATTCTCCCAAAGAGCTTAAGTTTACACCCTGGTGCAACATAACAAATGCAGATGCTGCAAGGAAAAATGAATTTTAGTCACAGTACTCTGCAAATAAACTTTGCCTTTTGCAGGCTTGCATGGAGTTGAAAATAAAGGATGCTACTGTGTACATTATGCAGCACTCCCCCCCAAAAAAACACACAGGAGAGAAAACATTTGAGTTGAGTGAAAATTCATTTATCTACTGAAAATCAGGAAGAATCCATATTCACTATACTTCAGATTCACTCCCAAATGACAAAAAAATATTATATGAAATGGAAAAAAATAAATAGTATTTAATCAACAGCTGATTACCTTTAAAACTTTGGGCTTCTTTTCCCTCTGGGGCCTCTTGTTTTCCTTTATAACCTAAAAAAAAAAAAAAAAAAAATCAAATTGCAAAAATGAGCCTTCATTTCAACCAAAAAAAAAAAATATATATATATATTAGTTCCCACTCCCCCCAAATTTCTGAGTATGTCTCTGTAAAACTGCTTATACCATTTAAAATTATCAACATGTTTGCCAAACAGCACCTAAGGAGCTTATGTAAAATGCACTTTCAAAGTCACTGAAAAATCCCTTGCATAAAGATGAAGTCGGGAAATACCCTTTTCTCCCCTTAAAGTCTGTCTTAATTAGCCTCTGCATTCTTCACAGCGAAGCCCACGAGGTAGCCATCTTGCTTGCTTCTGCAGAGGAAGCGGCTACAGTGGAGCACTCGTGCAAACTGCTTTTTGGTATTATTATCATGGTGTTTAAAGGCAGCCCTGGCCTGCCAGCACTGTAGACGTGCTGGGCATGCCTTTTGCAAAAACAGCCCCACAAAGAGTGCAGCCAATGGCAATGCAGAGCTTAGCAACTCCAAAGTGATCTTCTCAGCCTAGCCCTTCCTAGACAAAGGATCTCCTGTGTGGCTCAGCTCTCACCACAGGACACAGGCAGCCACAAGCTGCGACATGGAGTACGCCGCAGAGGATCTGGTCGCGCCGAAATCACAGGAGGCTTCAGCAGAAACAATGAACACCCATCCCCAGGTCACAGCCATCGGATCGATGGCGGAGTCTCCCTGATTAGTAACCTCTCCGGCGACTCCCAGGGCAGGTCCGCGCAGGGGGAGGGGGTGCGCTGCTCTGCCTCCAACCTACAGGAGACATAACGGAGCCCCGGGGGGCACTTGGGCTCTCAGCCACTCTGGAAGGTATTGTGCATTTTTACTTTATAAGGCAAGGCTAAATATTGGCGATATTTAAGGCAGGGAGGTTATGTGAGGACAGTGTCTGCTCAGCTGTTGGGCTGCTTGTCTCATTCCTGGGAACCACACCTCTCTCTCTCTCTCTCTTTTTCTCTCTCTCTCTGCAGAAGGCGTTTTGCTCAGCAACACAGCGATTTGATTTCTGTCAATAAATGTCCAATGACAAAGACGGATTAAAAAAAAAACCAGCAAGCCACTTAAAAGGAAAAAGAGTAGGAGGAGGATGAAGGAACCGGTCGGAGTTTGCAAAATGCACTTGCCAGGCTGGGTGCTTGGGACAGGCTGCGTTTCTCCTGATGGCTCTGGGCATTCCCAGTGACCTTCAGTTCTCAAGGAAATCCCTGTCCTACTAGAAGGCAGCCTGTGCCTTTGGGACTAAAAGGGGCATTCTGGTTCCTGTCCCTCCCCAGATTTGTCAGCTGTCCCCGGAGCATTTTTTCATAGAGCTGCCTGGCAAGTCCCCCACCTAGAATCAACTGCCTGGCGCAACAACCTACCGCAACCCAGGGGGAGTAACGCAGGGACCAGGCAAGGGGTGGAACAAGGCACCAGGTCTGAAACACACCTGGACGGCTCCCAGGCCAGGTGAGAAGCAGACACTGGGAGAACTGGCACCATGGCTGGCACCTGCCAGCCTAGAGATCAGAGGACCCTCCCGCTCTTTAGCCCCCTGGCATGGTAATCTCAGCGAAGAGAGAGAAGGAGGAGGAGGAGCGAGTACCTGCTACAGGAACAGACTGCTCTCAAGGTCACTGTTAAAAACCCAGGGCAGAGGCCAAAGTCCCATGGCAGCCACCTTGACAGCTGCTCCCGCCCGGGGAAGACAGACATTCCCAGCTCCAGCCCTGCAGAGCCAAGATTTCAGCAACACATTTGGGGGATTGGCACGGCAGGCTGCCTGGCTGCTCAGCCAAAGATGGGTTTTCCACTTGCACTTGGATTCAGAACAGATTCCCACAACCAGAAATTAGGAACAGAGTGAGAGCCGGAAGGCCTGCCTTTCATCACCCTCGGGTCCTAGTCTTTCAGTTTGCCACGAAAGCACGCTTTCCTTGTTGAAATGGGAACTCCAACAAGCCTTATTTTCCCACTTTTAAACTACCTCTCCCTCGCTGCCCCCCTCCCCTGTTCTGTGTTGAATAAATTCACATTAAGGGGGGAAAAAAAACCGGTGGGTGTGGTGTTTTCAACTCTCCCTTAAACACTTGTAGCAAAACCAATGAATTCCGATTTAACCACATCCAGCAGCACAACTGCAAACACACGCAGCCCACGCCATGGCTGAAAGCTGTCCGTGCAGAATGCAACCATCACCCAACAGGTACAAATGCAGGAGCTTACCCAGGCACACATGAATGGGATCAAATTTTTGCGCTTTTTGTCAGTTCTCCTTTTTCTTTGGGTGAGTTTTTTTTTTTTTTTCATTCTGATAAAACATGCCTACTATAAAATTTACCAATGCAGCTATTTGTTTTCTTTTTTTTTAAACTACTTGTTTTCTACGTTTTATTTTATTTGTATTGCAAAGCCAGATATATAGAGAAGAGGAGAGACAGATATGAAGATCTTCCATCTGCTGATTCACTACCCAAGTGACCACAATTGGGCGGAGCTGTCTATCCAAAGCCAGGAGCTAGGATCCTTTTCTGGGTCTCCCATGCGGATACAGGGTGCCAAAGCTTTGGGCCATCCTGGACTGCTTTCCCAGGCCATAAGCAGGGAGATGGATAGGAAGTGAGGCTGCCGGGATTAGAACCAGTGCATCCAAGATGAGGACTTTAGCCACTAGGCTACCTGCCAGGCAGTGCCCATTGCAGCTAATTTTCAATTCCATGCATGTGGCATGTAGTATAACCATCAGCACTACATTTCCAGAACATCCGCCTCCTCTTATTCTGAAATGCGGTTGTCATCAAGACAGTCATGTTTCATTCACTGTCTTCCCCCGCGACCAGTTTCTGCTTTCTGTCTCTTAAGCGTTGACCACTCTAAGTACATCATGTAAGTGGTAGCACGCAACATTTATTCTTTTGTGCCTGGTTGACTTCACCTAGTGTGTTTGCAAGATACACTTAGTGTGTATGAGCAGTGTCGATAAGATGTGTCAGACTTTCCTTTTATTGGCCAAATCAAATCCCTTTGTACACACCTTCTACAAATTTGTTTACCCACTTTTCTGTTGACAGGCTGGGTGCTTCTGCCTGTTGCTTGTGGTGAATGCTACTAAGAACATGCTGCAGTTACTGCTTTCAGGTCTCCGGAGTGTACATGTGCCTCGGAGGGGAATCACCGGATCATATGATAAGTCTATGTTTAACTTTCTGAGAAACCTCTTTTCCACAGCAGCTGCACATTTTATATTCCTATCGTCCATGCACCCAGGAGAGCCGTCGATATCTTAAAGAGCCTTGCATTTGAATTTGATTATGCCCCTCCCCCCTGACACTTAAATTTAATTTTTCAAAAGTATTGACATTTCTTTCCATGTTGATTTGCTTAACATCTACTAGAGGCTACATAATATAATGTAATTTTACATTTAAATCAATCTGTGACTCCAGTGCACCATATATTTGCATCAGTGAAATAAAATCAGACAGAGGGCTACAGGTATTGAAGATTTTTAAGAGCACTGTGGATAGGTATTGTCACCATATGCACTCCTCATTCAGACAAATGGCATTGTACACTTAAAGAGCTCATATCAGCGAGGTATGATTGCTAACGAACATGACGAGGTTGAGCATTAACTCCAAACATCAAACTGATGTTACACATGAAGATCCACTCTCGCTTGAACACAGATCAGAGGGTAACCTCTGTTGGTTGTAACCATATGCTTGAATTCTAAATTTAGCAATTTGACAGTCGCAGCTCAGAGCCTGGGTGACAGTGAATTTGCATGGAGAGAATAGTTAGAAATCACTAGCAGACAAACTAGAAATCAGTCTGAACTACATACAATTAGATCCTATGGAAAGTAACATCAGGAACTAAGAAACCTGGCATCACAGTCCTGGTTATTCAAACTTCCTGCTATGTAACTGCTTTTCCTCATGAGAAACTATGACCTTGCAAACTAAATGAACTGATACTTGACTTTACAATCACTTAACTATTATTGTTGCCCAAAGGTTTAAGTCACGGTCGGTAATGCTGGCCTCCCAAGTAGGTGCAGGTCTAAATCCATCCTGCTCTACTTCTGTTCCAGCTCCCTGCTAATGTGCCTGGAAAGCAGCAGAAGAGGAATCAAATGCTTGAGTTCCTGTCACCTACACCTACACCTACAGTGTAGTTCTAGGCTCCTGGCTTTGGCTTGGCCCAGCCCCAGTAAACCACTAGGGCAGCCATTCGGGCTGTGAACAAGAACATGGAAGACGTGTGTATGTGTGTGTCTGTCTTTCTCCCTGTAACCCTGCCTTTCAAAATTTTTTCCAAATATTTAAAAAAATTACTCAAGGAAGCTGGTGTGGCATTTCAAGCAGCTGCTTCTAGGATTGGCATTTCATATAGTTGCTGTTTCAAGTCCTGGCTGCTCCACTTGCAATCCAGCTCACTGGGAAAACAGAGGAAGGCTCAAGCGCTTATGTCCTTGCCCCCACATAAGAGACAGATACAGAGAAAGAATAAAAAGATCTTTCATTTCCTCGTTCATGTCTGAACTGGCCACAATGGCCAGGACTTGGCCAGGTCAAACCCAGGAGTCCTGAACTTCACATCCTGACCTTCAATGTGGGTGGCAGAAGCCAAAGAATTTAGGCCATTTTCTGCTGCCTTCCCAGGTACATTAGCATGGAGTTGATTTAGAACAGCAGCAGTGTCCTAAAATGGGATGCCAGTTTCACAAGCAAGCAACAGTTTAACCCCACTGCATCAGAAGGACAATTCCTCAATATTTCATGAAAAGTATACACTGCTATAACCCAGGGCAGAGGACACAACATGTTGGAGTCAGCACTGTGGAAGAATAAGCTAAGCTTGCTGCTCCCATAAGAAAGTACCAACTGAGTTCTCATGCATCTTTTAGTTCATGCCCCGAGAAGGTAGCAAATGATGGTCTAAGTACTGGTAGACAAGAAAGGAGTTTTGGGGTCCTAAACTTCAGCCTGGCCCA